AAAGTATCCAATGTATACATCTCTATTTTGAAACTAATTCATAGCTTTTATAAGAATGTCATAACCTAATTATAGCACAGAAATTTGGCAATGTGAAGGAAATGGATCAATATTTGGAATCACACCCTCTCCCTAGACTTAGCCCAGATGAAATACATCTCTTGAACAGACCAAGTTCAAGCAATGAGATCAAAGAAACAAAAAAAAAAAAATCTCCCAACAAAAAAATGCCCTGGTCCAGATGGCTTCACACCAGAATTCTATCAAACCTTCAAAGAAGAGCTTAGTCCTATACTGCAGAAATTATTCCAAAAAATTGAGAAGGAAGGAATCTTCCCCAGCCCGTTCTATGAAGCAAATATCATCCTGATAGCAAAATCAGGAAAAGACCCAATTAAAAAGGAGAATTTCAGACCAATTTCACTAATGAATATAGTTGCAAAATTTCTCAACAAAATCCTAGCCAAATGATTATAGCTTATCATGAAAAAAGTCATACATCATGATCAAATAGGTTTCATCCCAGAGATGCAAGTCTGGTTTAACATGCCCAAGTCCATAAACATTATTCACCATATCAACAGAAGCAAAACCAAAGACCATATGATCTTCTCAATAGGTGCAGAAAAAGCATTCGAGAAAGTAACAAAACAAGTATAATAAGCATTTGTAATAGGTGTCTCTTAGTTCCAGGTGGTTTCAAAACACAGCTTTATATGTGTGTGTACTTTTTTTCACCTTCAGAAGCTTCCATAATCTATCAATTTTTTGTTTCTTAATCTGCAGTACAGTTGTCAGTAGGTGTAATCTTCTCTTAATTAAAAATTGAATTTTACATAGCTCAACCATGGAGCAGTATTTTTTCCCCACTATTTCATGGTGATCATGTAATTAAGAATGACATTTACTATGCTGAGATGATAATTTGATATTGCCAAGATAAGAGTTGATAACAACAATATGTCTGTGAAAATTAAATGTTGCAGGTGCTATGTGACACTTAAATATTGTCACACTGAGAGTTTAAACAAATACTGAAATTATGCTACCACTTGAAAAGAACTTACCTTAGCAATTATTACTGACTGAACTGGGTAGCAAACAGTTGCTCCTAAAGCAGTCAGTCCTAGAGGATAAGTAATTTTCTTATACTTAGAACCTATAAAATTCAAACAAATTATTAAACTCCATATAGATACCACCAGAGAAGTGATGGTCTTATACCACAATGCCCTCTTTGCTTTCCTTTAAACCATCACTCTCTGTTAAATTACTTTTTAGCTCCTAATACCAATCAAGATGGAAACTAAAGTGCCCTTAAGAATCTCAATGCAATTAATACCCTTTAGCTGTCATGTCCAATTTAAGAAAAATATTTTCTTTTTTTTTTTTCTTTTTTTGCAGTTTTTGGCTGGGGCTGGGTTTGAACCTGCCACCTCTGGCATGTGGGACTGGTGCCCTACCCTTTTGAACCATAGGCACCACCCAAGAATTGTATTTTCAAACTAATACTAATGGATGCCTACACAGAATGAACCACTGATTTTTTTTTTCTTTATTGAAGCTAGGTATTTTTCCAGTCCCAGAAATCCCAAAATTGCAACCACAATTTTTCAAGTATCAAATAAAGCACGATAATATAGAGAATTAATCAACTACTATGTTTGTGACACCATGTTGATGTAAAATGGTACTATTTTATGTGTCCTTTTATGATTAAGTACTTAGGAAAGTGAATGACTCAACTAAATAATCAGCTAAGGACTTTTAATTGTACATAACTCCTTCGTGCCACTGATTTAGAATACAGAAGTAATAATAATTGCAAGTAACTTGACATAATTTGCCATTCCAGATGTGCTTTAACTTTAAGGATTTGAGAGTCATTTTCCTATTTTTCTTTGGACAGCAAAACCCCTTCAAAAAATAATCTAAATAGAATTTCACTAGAACTTCAATATGAAAGCCTATAAACTTAAAGCTGCTCTGATTAACATGGAGATGGGAAGTAGAGTATTGATCTCTGCCTATGTGGCTTTTCTCCTATCCTCATACCCTAGGTTATGCAGAATAATTTGAAATTCATCACTCTAAGCCACAGCTTAGTTCTAACTGTTGTTTCACAATAATATGTCTCTTAAATGTTTATTAAGGTATCTTGGATTCTATAAATATGATCTGGGTGAATGGATGACGGGTTTTTAAGTTGAGATAAGTAATTTTATTCTCTGGAATTGCTTTTATAACCCCTAATTTAAAAAGCTTATCTGGTTTATCAAGAAAGACAAAGGTGGAAAATACCAGGTAAGACTGAATTTTAGTGAAGATGGGTAGGTAGGCTGCTTCAGCCTCTAGTTTAGCTTTCCTTTAGATATTGATATCTTTTTTTGTGAGTGGTACAGGGAAAGAAGGCCTAGGTATGTTGAAACACGGCCTAAGTTGCTCCTTTACTCTAATCCCACTCACTATTATTCTAGTATCTCTAGTTTAGTTCTCGACTTTATAGAACTAATATAACTAATCAAGGTACTCTTGGTTCAATGGCATTCCCATAATATATTGATCCAACTTAACTTGGTAGGTGACAGTTTTCCTTCAATGTCATTTTAAAGATTGAGAAGACTTAACTTCATCCTGTCTTTTTTTTTCTTTTTTTTTTTTTTTTGGTTTTTATCCCTTTAAAGAGTGTATGGTTTTTTTTTATTTTTTAATTAATAATTCATCCTCTCTT